GAAGTAGTAGTGAGTACTACTAACTCACTGTAGTAGCCTCAACTTTGTTCTGATTAGGGGGAAATGGGAGTTATAGTTCAAAGCGTTAAGAAGGTGGTGTCTGTTTGGGAAGGCTGGTTGGGAATAGTCTTTGTTCAATAGACTTAATCTTGTAGGTGAATAGTCTTTGTTCAATAGACTTAATCTGGATAATAAAATACTGTATTTTACCCTCCCAAACTGGATCTTGTGCATCCTGCACCCAAAAATGAATGTTGTAGAGAAAGGCGAGGTATTCTGATATTGGTTGGAGTCGACAATACCAGTCAGTTTTATGATTGCTTTCCTTATTAACTCTATCTGAGAGAAACACTTATGAGATTATGGGACTTGCAGCTTTTATCTACTTGACAGTGGTGGTAAGATGGAGCTTGGTAATAATGGTGAGATCATCAGAGTTAATTCTTGAAACCTAGGATTCATTTCAACCTACATGTTCCTCACATAGGTACTATAATAAAACACCACATTTTCCAGTGAAGAGAAATCACATCTCTAACAATGGACATGCATGGTTGTGAATTCAGTGTGTCCAAAGAATGAATCCAGTTTTTGTTTCCACAACAAGATAGAAGACCTGAGAGGCATGCTAACAAAGGATACTCAATAAATTAAATGACTTATCTGGGATTTGAATCCAGGTTTCTCAAGTCTAAGTCCAGATGCCATCCACTAAACTCGTGAGATTAATTTCCCAATATAACAAAACCTTCTCCAAAGCTGTAGGCTTAAAATGGGAATTGTCACAAATTGTATTTACAACCTGTTCAAGAGTATACACTAAAACAAGAAAAAAAAATCTCACCAAATACTAAATTGAGCAACTTAAACGAATTTTTTTAGGGCAATTCTTATAAGCTAAAAGTCATGGAAATCACAAGAAAAAGATAGAGGTTTGCAGTAGATCAAAAGGGCCTTTTTGAGTTTCAGGTGGCTTTATAGTACTTCCATCACTTTCAACATCAGGGTGTTTTAATGAATAAAGCTTGAGAGAAGAGGACTATGAGTTTTGTATGAATGTGGCATGAGCTCAGTTTTGCTGCTAAAAATAAATTCCTCGATTGCAATGCACTTAAAACTGCCTTGCTCCTTAATCCTCTCTGGGCATCCACCCTTATTTCTGAGTTGCTATTTTGCATATAGTTCCAGTTGGGAGATCTCACCCTTAACTTAAATTACTGACAATACTATCCTATTTTCTTCCTTCAACTTACATCCTAGATGTTGCTGAACTAAAATGCTTTTCTGTCACACTTGGCAGATTCCTACCATGCTGTATAATTTCTTTTTTTCTCATTTGATTAATTGCCCCAAGGCTTAATTCATTAGGTCTGCAAGCCTCATCACAGTTGCATATACTTTAATCCCATAGATATCAATTGGACTTGTGTATAATTTTGAATAGGATTGCAGACTTTTTCATTAACTTCAGCAAGCACCATAACTGTTTAGTAAGAATTTATTTCTAAAACTCCCTTGTTTATATTGTTATTGAGGAGTATTACCTGAAGCAATGCTGTTAAATTTCTGCTAAAATGAGTTTAGCTAATTACTTTTAATAGTAAGTATTTTTTTTAAAGCGACTCTATACCCTACTGGTAGAATTCATATGGCACAATCTTTCTCCTTAGTTATTCAACCATCACATTTAACATTAGTACACTTGTTTATTGAGTACACATTGTTTTCTCTCTATTATAGTTTTTACTTTCTGCCATCTGGGTTCAAGGTTGGTTTAGATGTTACACAACGTATAGAAGACACTGTAAGGTTTCTGTGCCTGCTTTAGTTGCCATATCCCCACAAGGAAAACTTGAAGTGAAGTGGTGAAGGATGTATCACAAATATTCAGTTGTCACACCACCTAGTTCTTATAGAAGTGACATAGATATAATGAATCTTGAACCTGTGTCTCATTACTGCTAAATTTGCTCCAGGCTTGTCTTACACCTTCACTAACAATTAGATTCTAAACAGAACTACCAGAAGGAAAATATAAATCGCATAGCTTGCCCCATGATAATTCTAGGAATTTTTTTATTTGGAATATATTTATTATTGTGATATTTATCTTATTGTTGTTAATGCTACAGACTGTCCTGGAGGATTCTGTTTTTTTGATCACTTTCTGCAAATATTTTCAGGCCTGGGCTCTGTTTAAAGGGAAGTTCAGAGAAGGCATTGATAAACCAGATCCTCCCACTTGGAAGACAAGGCTGCGTTGTGCTTTGAACAAGAGCAATGATTTTGAAGAACTGGTTGAAAGAAGCCAACTGGACATATCGGATCCATATAAAGTATATAGAATAGTGCCAGAAGGAGCAAAAAAAGGTAGGACAGCACCTTAAACTAAGCTTAAAAAGCATCTGGCAGCCACTGCTTATCCTTCATTGTGGATTTGAATATGATACTCCTCACTAGTTGATAGCCTAGAGCTACAGAAAAGCTGTTGATAATCTAGAAAGCGCATAGAGAAGAGCAACAAAGATGATTAGGGGATTGGTGGGTAAAACATACAATGAAGGGTTGCAGGAACTATAGTTTAAAGAAGAGAAGGACTGTGGGTAACTTGATAGCAATCTTCCAATATTTGAGGGGCTGTCAGAGGAGAAGGGGTTGACCTATTCTCAGGGGTGGGATTCCACTAGTTCGCACCTATTCGCTAGAACCGGTTGTTAACATTCTAAGCAGTTCGGAGAACCGGTTGTTAGAAGAAATTACTGGCCTAATCCTGTAAGGAAGGCAGGAAGGAAACATTCTGGTGTTGCTTACAGAATCTGCCTCTCCATTAACCCTTATTATGTTCTTGGAAGAACTAGACTTCTCTGGAGTTTCCCCCCCCTCCTTTGCTAGTACTTTGCTTGGGTGGAGTGACCATTCAAAGTTACAATGGCACTGAAAAAAGTGACATGACCATTTTTCACACTTACGACTGTTGCAGCATCCCCACAGTCATGAGAGGCCAGGCGAGGAGATGCGTGCCTCGATGTGAGTGATATTGAGTTGGCCACACCCACCCAGTCACATGACCACCAAGCCACTCCAATTTAGCCACGCCCACAGAACCAGTTGTTAAAAAAATTGAATCCCACCCCTTCCTATTCTCCATCCCCTGAGGGCAGGACAAGAAGTAAGATATAGAAATTTATTAACTAGAGATCCAGATTAGAACCAAGGAGAAATTTCCTGATGGGAACAATTAATCAGTGGTGCTCCAACACTGGAGATTTTTAAGAAGAGATTGGATAATCATTTGTCTGGAATGGTACAGGGTCTCCTGCTGGAGTGGAAGGAGGGGATTTCGACAAGAAGACCTCCAAAACCCCTTCCAGCTCTGTTATACTGTTACTGTTAATACCTGCTTTCCCCCTTTCAAACTTGGAGTCTTATTTCTCTTCCATATGGGCACCAGCTTTACCTCTCTCTCCCCATAATAATAATTTATGTGCCACTATACATTGTTCTGCCACTGTTCTCCCCACCCATGCCTTTCATCTCTTTGGGCCAGCTAGATATCCAATGGTCCCCCAAAAAACAAAAGTCAGCCAACACACTACCCTCATCCTTGCTTTTCATCTCAACTTGTTTAGTTTTTTTGGATCAGGGACAGTGGGGAGAACCTCCAGCTTCTGGAAGAGGGAGGGGAGAAAGAATTTGGGAAGCAGGATTTGCCAAGAGAAGAAAGTCACCCAATTCATAGATCACAGAAAGCACTGTAAAATATTGCAGTGGAACAGGAGGTCAGCCAATTAACTCTGCTAGTTAATTAACTTAGCTTTCCAAGATGATTGGAAGCCCTAAGAAATTATGGGGACATACATGACTCTACTAGTTCCTTGCATGTGAAAAGAGATATAAGGAAAAGAAAGAGTGAACAGAGTTTTAATAAATTCGGGATTCAAAACCTAAGAATACTCAACCGGATTTTTTTTGGTCAAATGTGATGAGGGTAGTTATATATGTCTATGTATGTCTGTGTGTATGTATGTATATAGGTTTTCTCTTTGCACGCTTTCAGATTTCTGTCTTTTTTTCTAACAATACAAATGAACTTTGTATCTATAAAGAGGCCTGAACTATAATTTCTGCTAGAAATTAACAATAGGGGTTTCATTTTTAAATACTCCCAAGATGCTACTTTTTTATAAAGTTCTATAAATCACTCTGTTTCTGTCTACAAATAATTTACAGGATCGAAACAACTTAGCATAGAAGATCCACAGATGATTATGAACAATGCTTTCGCTCTGAATTCAGCATATTCTTCACTACCGCCTCAGGTATGACCCTTGCATTTATTTTAATTTTGTATATTGGAGAATGAAAAGGTAGAGATGGCGTGTTTCTTTCTTTCCTTGTACCATGAGGTTAAGAATGAAAACAAATGGCTAAAAATATCCAATATAACCTAATATTTTCAAACGACTTTATAGGTGTTCTTGTGATAGATTTTGATTAGTATTAGAACTCTTAGCATGTTTCATTTCATTTCATTTCATTTCTTCTGCTAGAGAAATATAACTGAAGTATTTTATTTTTGCTTTTCAATAACAGCACTGAATTTGTGCAGTTGTATTCATGGCATAAATAGTTCAACTGCATCAATGCATTCTTCATTGTCAGCAGCTTTCACTTTCAATACATTGTAAGTGTAAAGTCCCCTCTGAGTCCCTTGTATTTCCAGTGAAATTTGTATTTTTTCTGAAATTTATATTTATGTGAAACAATGCACATAAAGGTAGTCCTCAACTTATAACAGTTTGTTTAGTGACTGTTCAAAGTTGCAGCAGCACTGAAAAAAGTGACTTGTGACCGTTTTGCATACTTGAGATCATTGCAGCATCCCCACAGTCACGTGATCAAAATTCAGAGGCTTGGCAATTGGTTCATATTTATGACGGTTGCAGTATGAATCACCTTTTGCAACCTTCTGACAAGCAAAGTCAGTGAGGAAGCCAGATTAACAATCATGCTCCTGACTTAACAACTGCCATGATTCACTTAACAAATGTGGCAAGAAAGGTCATGAAACGGGGCAAAATTCACTTAACAAATGTCTCACTTAGCAATTTTGGGCACCATTGTGGTCGCAAGTTAAGGACTACTAGTACATTACAAATACATCTACAGTAAACTGGGCCTTCACAGAAAGAGCAACCATTTGAGAAGGACATGAAACATTGTCATCTGGAAAACACAGGTTTATTCTCTCCAGTCATATAATGAATTTCAGGAATCATTGAGTCTTCACTGCATTGGATATATGAGATATTAACTGGATTCAGTTTCAGTGGTGTGTGTGTGTGTGTGTGTGTGTGTGTGTGTGCATGTTTAAGCCTGATGGAAGTAAAAGGATAATAATAGAGTTCTAATCCTATTTTATTTACCAGGAAGAGAGGTGCCTGAATTCAGTCGGATTTACTTTTGAAAAGACACCCATAAGCTTGTATGTCAATAACTGTCTCTCTCCGGAAACTCTTTATTACATATAAACAAGCTCAATACTGTGTTTGTCTGGGTTTTCATTTTACAGATATACTGAAGAGAGTTATTTAATTAGAAAGCTGAAAATGACTGATTAATTTAGTAAATGGCTGAAAATAAGACATGTGCTATTTTAATAAAATACACAGGTTCCAAACTACATGGTACCTCATGACCGTAACTGGAGGGAATACGTACCAGAGCAGTCCCATCCTGATCTTTCGTACCAGTGTACAAGTGTCTCTTTTCCACCTCGTAATCATCACTGGCAAGGCCCGTCATGTCAGAATGGTAAGAAATTCTCGTGCTACAGGGCATTTTTATTTAAGTTACGAAATAAATAGCGGCTCCTGATTTAGGGTTCCATCTGCATCCAAGCCAAGAAAAGAAAAACGTTAAGAAACTGGATTTGTTTACTTCAGCAGAAGGTAGAACTCCATGCATACTTTGGTTTGCGTGAAGTTTTCATCTCCACTAAAATGAGGGAGCTAATTCTGGTAAAGGCAGAACTTTCTATGTGTCTCACAGTTCCTATATTTGCAAGAAATTGGCACGGTATAAAGAAGAATATTATGATACAGCCTAAAGAAAGTGTTTTTATATTAAATTGCAGAGAAAGTAAAATCACTTGAATTCCTGAAATCTATTAAAAACAGTTAAGTGTGGTTTGTATTATGCAGATAACTAAATGCATAAAACAAATTTTATATTCTCAGTGAAGATTGGAGTGCTTTACTAGGCAAATTGAAAATAAAAGAGAAAACAAAGCAGATAAGGAAGAACAGCCAACTTCCAATTACAAATGTAAGCAAGGTTTTTAGTTACCTTGAGAATACTCTATTCTTTACTTTCATAAACTGAAAAAGTTGCACAAAACTAAATAGACAAAAGATACTGCTTTGTTTCTTTCTTTGTCTGATCTCTATATGCTTATTTATGAGCAAATCCGATCAATTTTAATGCAGTACAAATAAACTAACATTAGGCAGAGTGCAACAAAAATGAAGCAATTCTGAACTGCATAGATTTCAGTGACTGATAAATTGCTTGTCAATTTTTTTGACTGATATTAATGAAATGTTATAATTCTTTTTGAATGGTGTATACTTATGCACTTTAAATTCTCCATGGTTGCAGTCTACCTTTGCAAATTTTGTGATAAGGGATTGATGGGGGATTGGGTAAGGTACAGATTTCCTGGGTTCTGGAAAAAAATGATGCTATGATATCTGCTTTTACTGTGGGAGAAAATGGACACTTGCAGTCTGAATTTATCACTCAGAGCATCAAAGCATAATTTTTTTGAATAAGACAAATCTGTCATTATCAGAACACCTATTAATATCACTCTGACTTCCCAAATATGGAGATTCCTTTCATTAGAAGAAAGAATTGCAAATAGAAAAGTGGTTGCATATTATCCATCAAGTACAGGTAATTCTCATTTAGCAATTGCCTTGTTTAGCAGCCATTGACACTTATGATGGTGATGAAAAGAAATTTTGCCACCAATCCTTGCATTTACAATCTATCTGTAATTAAAATCAAGGCTTTCTCGGAATTTCACTTTAATACTTGAAAAGTACAAATGATAATTTAAGGTGAACATCCTGGTGCTCAGCCAACGCTAGATAAAAAAAGTGTTGACTTCATACAATATGCTAAACTCTAAAACCATGACAAGAATGTACCGTATAAACTGAGGCAGGATATCTTTACTTTAAATTTGGCCAGCTACTTGTTTGCAGCAAAAATACAGAATGGACAGAATATAATTCTATAAAAACCCTATATTATGATTTATATCTTACGATTTGTATTGTTTACTTAGCATCTTAGTATGATTTAAATTGATTGCTTATTCAGTATCCATGACTATCACTAAGTATTGTATCTAATGTTTTATGAAGAATGTATTTTACAATGTTAATGTTCTATATTGTTGCATGTACATTGAGAGCTTATGCACCGGAAACAAATTCCTTGTGTGTCTAATCACACTTGGCCAATGAAGAATTCTATTCTATTCATTGGCCTTCAATGTGTGGTAGCAAATTTTGGTGTACGCTCTTAAGGCATTCTAATAAACTAATGCAAGTTGATTTCATTTAGATTGAAATACTAAGACAGAAGCCCCTGAACTTAAAAGAATTTTCATAAAGCAAATCATTATCTTTGAAGCAGCTCTAAGCCAGTCCAAAAACCATTATTTGTGATAAAGTAGAGAATGAGAAGATTCATCCAATCTTGTTATGAATGTAATACTAATATGAGTTAAACTGGATAAAGCACCCCTATTTTTTCACTCTTCCCATCACCTAACCCTTCAGTTCCTGTTTTCATATTGTGCAATGGGATAAAAGCATTATGATTTATAGAGGTTATACACAGTCAGTTAGTGGGAACTTTTTCAGATGATTCACCAAAGAAGAAGATTTAATAAGGAAAATGTATCAAACTTAAGAATGAACAATCAAAAATATTTAAAGGAGTGAGAGTATTACATGTTGATAATTGTTTCCATCTAGCAGATGAAAGTTTTGAATGTTATTGGCTGTTCGGTCGTGTTCATTTTGCTTTTTGAAAATCTTTTTTTTTTTTTTTTGGTATGAAAGTAGGTTGTCAAGTAACTGGGACTTTTTATGCTTGTGCACCACCTGAGACGCAGACTTCTGGCATCCCAATAGAGGGAAGCATCAGATCTACTGAAGCTCTTCCCTTGTCAGGTATGTATACACCATCACAATCTAATAAATCACAGTGAACTTCTGATTTAAAAAAATGCTCATAAATATTTCCCTATGAGCCTAGAAGAAGAAAATAGTGAATATTCATCTGCATTTGTTCTTCTGTATATAAATACATGCATATTTATTTGAAAGAGAGCCAATAGGTTCTAGCATGAGTTCTAGTCTCACCTTAGGCAGGAGGTCTGCTAAATGAACTTTGGCCAGTCATACTTTCTCATCCCTAAGAAGCTAGGTATAGCAAACAGTTTTCAAAATCTTGCCAAGAAAACTGCAGGGGCCAGTCAAGGCAGTTGTCAGAGTCAAAAATAGACTCTAAAATTGTCAGGCATCAAAACTGTCTTAAAGTCACTCTGCATGTCAGATAGAATTTAGATAGGAATGCATAGTAAATGTGGTCTGGTGGTTAAAGCACCAGGTTAGAAAGCAGGAGACTGGGAGTTCAAATCCTGCCTTAGCCATGAAAGCCAGCTGGGCCAGTCATTCTCTCATCCCAATCTACCTCACAGGGCTGTTGTTATGGAGAAAATAAGGAAGGGGGTGCTGGATATGTTCGTTGCCTTGAATTATTTGTAAAAATAATAAAGGTAGGATAGAAGTAAATAAATGTGGGGCAGGGGAGTGAAAATTTTAATTATAGATTAAGTTGTTTGAGAATTTTATTACACTATGTTCTACTACAGATTAGAAGTACCAGGAATCTTCAAAAGACTTATTGTGGTTGATGGCCAGAAATAATACTTAGTTGGAATATACAGGGCCAAGGGCCTTTTTCGTAGTGACACCTGCTTTATGGAATTCCCTTCCCCTTGTAGTATTGATCATACTATATGTACTAGTTCCCTTCAGGAAGAAGCTAAAAATCTATTGTATACCTCCATTTCCCCCTTTTAGGGAAAATGGTGCTATGGATGGTGGTTGGATTGTGCTTGTAATTTTTAAAAAAAGATATTCTATTATTTGGTATTATTGGTGCATTTTATGTTGCATTTTATGGATGTAATTATTATTTTGTAATTTATTAGTCTTATACTATTAACTTCTACAAGCTGATTTTAGTAGGAGCAAGTGGATTATAAAATATAAAAAATATATAAATAAATATGATTTATACAGGATGCATATTAAAGTGTATAATTCTAGAAATAATGTTTTGATTATCTCATTAAATACAAATTCTGTTCTGTAGTCTACCAGAAAGTGAAGATCCTACTTAGGTATGCAATTTTGTCCAGAACTCTTTAGATTACCATCGTTTTTGAAGCAATCCAGCTAATATAATCTCCTTTTGCTTGGCAATTTAGTAATTTAATTTACAAACAGATCTTTTCTTATTCCCCAGAATATAGTTCATAGCTGTTTACACTACTGCTTAACAGGGAAAAATGATATTTATTGAAGAGGTCAGTTGGTGAATGATCAGGAAATCATTTTTCAGGGATTTTAGGACTTTTACTTTGTAGCAGTATTTAAAAGCTATGATTATTCTCACACTACACTTATTTTATTTGGCTATATTTCTTTAAGCCATGATAGTGCTAAGTTTTTCATCTGTGCTATAAATGAGCCCATAGCTTGGTTCTTATTAAACCAAGAAATTATACTCCAATATCACACAATACGGCCTATTGGCATTACTGTATTTAGCAGTGGTTAGCTTTATTAAATATTCTATAGAATAGTTTTTAACATGTAGTTATTTACACACACAAATATTCATTAGATTCATGCTTAAATATGCAATATATGCTTAACAACTATTTGTTGAGTAAGCCACAGTATTTTGAGTTCACACAATTCATTATGCCAAAACCAAATGTTACTTACTGCAATTATTCTTTATAATAATATACTGCAATTATTCGCTATAATCTCTATCATAGCATCTTTGAAGGAGAAATAATTATAATTTCCACAGTAAATGTTAACCTGAGAAAATGGCCTTATGCCTCCCCCCGCCCCCTCAGAGTTTAATTGAACAGAATGGAACCTGTTTCTGATAGGTTTTGCTATAATGTTTGTTCAATAAATCAGGAATGGATGAAAACTTGTCTCTCTAGTCCTAAACTATAGGAAATGCAGCTGTCCAATACCAAATGTTAAAAATAATTTTGCATAAATATGTTTTCAGATTATCGATTGCACATCTGTTTGTATTATCATGAAACTCTTGTAAAAGAAGTCACAACTTCAAGTCCTGAGGGCTGTAGGATATCTCATGGTCATAGCTACGAAGTCACCGGCATGGACCAAGTTATGTTCCCTTATCCAGAAGATCATAACCAGAGGAAAACAACTGAAAAATTGCTTTCTCTGGAAAGAGGAGTAATACTCTGGATGACCCACGATGGCCTCTATGCTAAGAGACTTTGTCAAAGCAGGATATATTGGGATGGGCCTCTGGCATTCTGCAGTGACCGGCCTAACAAGCTGGAAAGAGAGCAGACGTGCAAGCTTTTTGATACTCAGAAATTTTTATCAGGTAATTTTTTAAAATATAAAAATTTTACCATTTGTGTTTGCAATTAAGACTTTGACTTTAAAATCGGTTCTTTTGCTGTTTCAAATATTGGCTTCCTATAACCACACATAGAATTTGCAGCTGCTCCATCCTCTCAATTTTGAACTCCAGCCTTTGTGCTTCCACAGTATCTGAAATCCAGCCTCTGTTTACCCTTTCCCCAGCTTCTCTGCTTTGGTAGTAGAGAAACTCATTTGCATACATACATTCAAAAGGCATCAGGGTTTTAAATATTTATTGATTTTCATTTAGATGTACAATCCCAGAGGTGGTATTCAGCAGGTTCTGACCAGTTCTAGAGAACCGGTAGTGGAAATTTTGAGTAGTTCAGAGAACTGGCAAATACACCTCTGACTGGCCCCGCCTCCATCTATTCTCTTCCTCCCAAGTCCCAGCTGATTGGCTGGGGCTTCTTTTGTTGCCCTGTATAGGAGAACTGAACAGGAAATCAGGTTAGTGGGGTAGGGAGGGAATGGGATTTTGCAGTAATCTTCCCCCAGGAATGGGGAGGGAATGGAGATTTTACAGTATCCTTCCCCTGCCATGCCCACCAAGTCATGCCCACCAAGCCACACCATGCTCACCAAGCCACGCCCACAGAACCATTAGTAAGTTTTTTTGAATCTCACCACTGTAAAATACGGTTAGAATTTGGAGCTTTGTTTTGAAAACCCAGCTCTGTTGGGGATATGGCAAACTTCTTATCCTGATTAAGATTTATTATGCCCCAGAAATAGATGATTCTAGCATTAACAGAATGTAATCCTTTTCCCAATATATATTATTATACACAAGTATGTTGTTACTTTCATTTTTTAAAATTGGATAAATATTATATTAGACATGTTCTTTGAGCATAGTTTTTTTGATTTAGTTAAAACTTTATTAAATGAACACATAGCTACCACAGAAAAATAATTGTGGTGGGCCTCATTTTCTCCCTTTTCTGTGAAGTTTAATACAGCCGATCTCTTGCTTCTGCTATAGTAGTCTGCATTTTCTCACTATGATTCACTTTATTGGCTATTTTTTGCCAAGATTAATGCATAAACATAGAGAGCAAGGAGGATGACCTTAATGGAGATGAACAAAAACTGTTATTTATCTAGGCAGAAGTGTCTGAACCATTTTTAAGCCCAGATCTATGAGATAATATATGGATGTTTCTCAGGCAGACATCTCTATAATTCTCTGAATTTTAAGAAGGAGATATAGCACAATCTGACTTTCAAGATTCTGTTATAACCAATCTCAATAAACGTAGTCTTAGTCTTTTTTGAAATTGATTTTCTGCTGTGGCCTATCTTTTGGAACTCTTTGATATAAAATTTATTAAAAAGGAAAGAGAAGGAGGACTAGTGCCTACATTGAGTACTGAACCAGATGACTGCCAACAGTTCAAAATAATACAGCTAAATTAAAGAGTCAACAGTGTTGAAAGCTTCAGTCAAAATTACAACAGCAGCATGATGCCATCAGGATACAAGCTCTTTCCCTTTCATACATATATGTGACATCAGAACATATGAAATAAAGGGGCAATATTTTGGTCATAATAATGTGTTAATAATTTGGTCATTCACTCCATTTGTCCTCCATCACCTGTGGATGCCTCTGAGCTGAATGCTGATGAGAATATAACTTCAAACAGATAGTTCTTCAATCTGTAGCAGCTGAGTTCCACTGTTTTAAGATATAGTTAGGAATTCTTATTTTAGGTATGTTCCTAGATCTAATTTTGCCACTAGAAGACCAGTTAAATTCAATAATGGATTGCTAGCTACTGCTGTCTTTAGAATTAAAATCTTGTCTTGATTATTCGTGATCTGTTAATTTGAAATTTATTGCAATGTGTTTGTGCCTGTGAACATTTTTCATAAACTTCACCTAAGTGCACAATTTGGCAGCCAAAAAGGTAACTACAGTACATAATTCTAAACCAATTACCCAGGATTACCTATTAATTCTTGACTAAATTCAAGGATCTCATTCTCTTAAAATTGTATATATCTACAAGGTTCTTTCTTCCTGTATAAAGCATATTATTAAAATTACTGAATTCTTGGTGTCTTTGTTATCAGAGTCACAAAGAATTGGGATACCTTGCTGAAAATATATGCCTGGTACTGTACCCACTTCATAACCTACTTTAAGCTCTGTTCTTACATATATAATTGCCCAAACTGCCTTATTAAAAAAGGACATTAGTGTGATTGTTGGATGTTATGTAATCTTTTAAATAGTGTTATTGATTCTATCTTGCCTTTAGCCTAGAACTTTATGCATTAACTGGCTACAATAGCGATTTTGAAGAACGTGAATTTAAAGAATGAAATTGTTTTAATTGTGGCATTCTCTAAGGATTTTATTAAGCTTATTTTACCTATCTGTAAGCACTATAGGATATTTTATTCTTTTTATAAGCTATTCAGCTTTTTTTAGGGAGGAAGTGCAGTATAAAACAAAATTGATACTTTATATTATTGTGTATTGTCTTGAAATCATATTAGATGAAGCAAACTGTAATGTTTTTTTAAAGATAGAAGGAAAAACAAACTGAAACTGGATTATCTATTTGTTTCAAACACAGGTAGATAATAGGGTTCTTTAAAAAAAACTTTGATGAATCTATGTAGGATGATTTTTCATGCATTATTGCACCACTGTCCTAAATTTAGCCTCCAAAGTATAATATTTCTGTTTGTTTTCTAGAACTACAAATATTTGCCCACCATGGGCGTCCATTACCTAGATTCCAGATTGTATTATGTTTTGGAGAAGAGTTTCCTGATCCACAAAGACAGAGAAAACAAATTACAGCCCATGTAAGTATATGCTAAATGATTTATGTAATACAATATATAAATGCTAAAGGCATGGCTAATAAGAAAGTAGGGGACTGAGACTAAGTGCTTTATGAAATTGTTTTACGATATTGAAATGCTTGATCAATCGATATGTAGAATACAAATAATTTTCAGTTTCAGAAATGTTCAGCTCTTCTTAAACCATCAGGTCAACCTCAAGCCAAAGCTACAGGTTTAAATAACTAAGATTGCTTGACAATATAATCACAATTTCTCTGATTATACTGCTACACAATCTACAATATTAATTCCTATATAATTGACAATTGTATCTTCACTTTTAGTGAATGCTAAACATATGTTTAGAAACATATTTCAGTTAATAAATCAGCAGCAAACATCCAATCTCCTTACATGGAACTTATCATATATCCCATGCTCTGTTTGAGCTTGCAGCTAATTTACTTACAAATCCAAACTGCACTTTTGGAAATCACCAAATTTAGATTGCTTTATTGTTAACATTTTCCATAAAAAGAATTTTGAATAGGTTAATAAATTAATAATGAATAGCTTAATAAAGAATATATAAGGTTAGAATAACAAGCCAATCCTTTTAGAATCACTTGACCTTTGGGGTGTGTGTGTGTGTGTGTGTGTGTGTGTGTGTGTGTGTGAGAGAATTTGCAATTTGCAAACAGGTTAAACAATTTCACTATAATCCAGATGATAGCTTAGGTATGTCCCCTAAATTTATATTAATAATAAAAATAATAAAACAGTGCCTTTGATGCAATCCCCAAGCAATTGAAGTATCAGCTGAACATCCATTGGCCTTGACAAATTCACCATCAGTCAATTGCAAAAGGCAGCTTTACTTGGAACAGCTTGCATCCTGCAATGATACTACTAACATCATAAAACATCAACATTTGCCTCTCCCGAGTCCTTTGGAAGGACTTGATAGGTGGATAAAAATGCCAAATCCAGTATGAACATCTGGCTGACTGTGCGACGAGCCATCAAAAAGTGAATTCTCTATTTATTTAATTTATTTTAACTGCATTCGTGTCAGACATACATTCTATTTTACAATTTGTGAGTCCAAACAATATGTTAAGGGTGCATGCTTATGTTTGTGTAGCAAACTGAGCATGTGTTGACAATAGTCACTGCTAATGCTGTCATTCAGCAAATGAACCCCTGACACAGTAGATTAATGACAGTCCTAGTTGAGCTGTTTTCATCCTCTTTGGTCAATACTGTTTAAGCACTTCCATTAAAAACAAAATGGCAAAATCAAATCCCCACCACCACAAAGGTTTGAAGTCAGTCTACTTGAACTGGAACCACCACATACATGCGTGTGACTGCAAGGAGGCTAATCCTTCATTCCAGAAATGTCACTATGGACATTAAACTACTCCCCAGAACACTGGGAAGAAAAACGAACTGGAACAGCAGATACATAGTTGTGGAAGAGTTTGGTCATAGATACCCAGAACAAAGTACAATGAGGAAATAATGCTAAAATGTATCTGCAAATTCCAGCCTGTGCTTGCACACTAATGTCAGTTGCAAGTAGATAAATCACAGGGTGTTTTTTTTTTTTTCTCAAGATATCACAAGCTATGGTTCACCATTTGTCCCCCACCCAATTCAGAGGATGGTAATGGCTCTGCATTGCCGATTCTCTTCCTCCTTGGGTCATATCCTTGAAAAACAAATACAATCTAATTATAAGCTAATGCAGAGCATTTAAATCAAATAATCATTTGCTATTGTTTTCATTCATTGATATTAGATTAGAAATATAAAATAGAAAAAAATATACCACATTGCTTTCTTAACCCTATATATTTTATATTGAAATTTGCCAGAACTATTGTGTATCTACTTGTTATCATGATAGCAGATACATTCTCTTTGTTTTGGCAAGCTATTTGTTTGCATACGTAGGGTGAGATTTTTATGAATTGCTGTTAGCTCCAAAATTGATAAAATAAAATTTCAGAACATTATTATTCCAGTAATCACCATTTCAACTCATTCATTTTCTGATTTGTTAAGGTTGAACCAGTGTTTGCTAGGCAGCTGTACTACTTTGCACAGCAAAACACCGGACCTTTCCTGAGAGGCTACGATATATCAGAACAGATAACCACTTCAGAAGATTATCATAGATCCATCCACCATTCCTCTGTTCAGGAATAAACACAGGAACACTGAAGTCTACATTTTGGGAGGTAAACGGAAGGCAAAGTACTTTGGATCACAGCTAAAGGATGTGCACCAGTGCTTTGAATTTTCCTGAGAAATCATCACCAACTGGAAATGTACATGGAAGGGATACCGTCAATGTAAGAATCTAGAACCCTGAGTGATCTGTGAGAATACACATGACTTTAGCCATGTGATCATGGCTTTCTCTCTATGCATACAGTAATATGCTTATTACTCCAGAGCTGAAGAAGTTTCTTGGATGAAAAGCAAAACGTCTTCATGGAAAAACCAGGAAGTCCAGTTGCCTCTTGAAAAAGCACCTTTGGGACAGTTCTCAGGAAGATAAGCAATGCTGTGTTAGTATACTAGGGACAATGCAGTCATTTATGCACTGTATAGGAGGAAACTCAGGCTCACTGGTTCTTCTCAACTTCAGTCCTACAGCCTCATTCCCAATCTTTGAGAAAGTCTAACTGTAATGAGTGAGTTCCTGTTAGCAATGCCATTTGATTAACACGCTGAATATGGCTTGCTTTGTCTGACAAGTTGTACAAGGCTAATCTGCATTATACATCTCAACTGTATTGCTGAATTAATTGGATGAGAAATGGTTAAGAGCGCTTTTCATTCTTAGTGGTTTAAGTCTAGAAAAGTGAAGTTGAAAAATTAAACGTGTACGTCGTTCCTCACCCCACCCCACCCCGTTCTAACCAGAAAGTTGGAAGGAATGTAAAAACATTTTAATCATGACTTGTGGGTGATTCTGTGACATAGGTGTTATTGAAATGGGCAAGACGAGTTGAAATGAAACCTGGGAGTTCACCAAATACCCATCTAGATCAGGACTGTCAAACTTGCAGCCTGCGGGCTGGATGCGTCACGCTCTGGCCACACCCATGCCCAGTTTAGCAAAGGGGGAAAAAGTCCCAATATGTCACATGACACTGCTGAGATGATGTGAGTTTGTCACCCCTGATCTAGACTCGGAGGAGTTGGTTCATACATTTTTTTTTTATTAAATGCAGGTGGTCCTTGACTGATGACCACATTGGGATCTGAAGTTCCATCACTAAGTGATGTGGTTGTTAAAGTGAGTTGCGCCTGATTTCATGACCTTCCTTGCCCCAGTTGTTAAGCAAATATCAGAATTGGAAGGGAGCTTGGAGATCATCAGCTTTGCTGGCTGAGGAATTCTGGGAGTTGAAGTCCAGAAGTCTTAAAGTTGCCAAGGTTGGAGACCCCTGATCTAGTCCAACTCACTGCTCAAGCAGGAAACCCTGCATCATTTCAGACAAATGGTGGTCCAATCTCTTCTTAAAAACTTGGTTGCTGGAATTGGGTATGTCTAGTCTAGTGTAAAGAAGGACTGTGGTGATATGATAGCACTGTTCCATTATCTCAGGGGCTGCCCCAAAGAAGAGGGAGTCAAGCTATTCTCCAAAGCACCTGAGGGCAGGACAAGAAGCAATGGGTGGAAACTAATCAAGGAGAGAAGCAACCTAGAAATAAAAAGAGATTTCCTGACGGTTAGAACAATTAACCAGTGGAACAACTTGCCTCCAGAAGTTGTGAATTCTCCAACACTGGAAGTTTTTAAGAAGAGATTGGACAACCATTTGTCTGAAATGGTGTGGGGTTTCCTGCCTGAGCAGGAGGTTGGATTAGAAGACCTCCAAGGTCCTTTTCAACTCTGTTAATTCTGTTCTGTTAAATCATCATGGTCATTAAGTGAATCATGGTTGTTAAGTAATAGCCTCCATTGACCTTGACTTTGAATTTTTAGCCTGCCTTTATTACTTTATAAGTAAGTCAAGATTCCAACTAGAATCTCTTTGGGAAAATGATAAATGAGAACCACATGAGCCCAAGATGCTGAACCATACAAGCCAGTCACGAAGAGCCCAAATCTTGATCACATAATCCCAGAGAGGCTTCAACCGTTATAAACACAGGCCAGTTGCCAAGCGTCCAGATTTTGATCGCGTGACGATGGGGATGCTGTGATGGTTATAAGTGTGAGGACCAGTCATAACTCACTTTTATAACTTCAAACAGTTGCTAAATGAATGGTCGTGTAGAGGATTAATTGTGTTGTATCTTAGTCTTTGGAAAATTCACAATACATTAAACATTCCTACAACTGCAATGATAAAACTTAGTTTGTATAGCACTGAGTACACCAAGTAATAGGAATACTTTTTATTTTGATTGTAAAAGTTGAGCAAAAGTCAATAGAAAAATATGTGGAAAATGATCAAATAGGAACCTCAGCTGTGAGAAAAAAGGTATCTTACCTTCCTGCTTTCATTTCTCTTTTGGTAGACTATGAAAATGCAGAATAAAATAAAGGTAGAAATGTTTATCGAGTATAAGCAATATAATTATGCTGTACATACTTTTAAGATTTAGATTTATGTTTGATAAATAAAATGTTCCAGTTTTTACAATCTTATTTTCAAATAACTCATACATAACTTTCCCTTCCATTTTAAATTTTGATATGACTTCTGAGGTTCACTTTCTTCCTGCATCTGCATAGTATTATTGCATTTATGTAATGAAAATTAAGCAGATATTTTTTTTGTACACATTATCTGGTTGAAGTCAACAACCTTGCCCAGATCGAACAGTTTCTCAGAAGACACCAATGCTGTAAGTTTTATAAATATATGTGGTTGTATGACAAACCTATTGCTGAAAATCATGGCTGGTATCCAGACAAGCTTACTATTCTTTCAGTGAAAATTAAGTGCGTATGTATGCAATTAAATATGTAATAAGGCAGATATGGTGTTAATGTGGCTGTGTATGCTCTTTATGAGCAATAGATTTCCTGAGTATTAACCTCAAATAAGATAATTGTAGCAAGAGTATAGGTTTTCTTTGATCTTTCAAATGGGCATGCTATTTACATCAGCAGTTGTCACCGCCTCGGAGGTGGGGGAAACACCATCAGGGCTCTTCAGAAAGTTTTCAGGGAAGAAGAAGAAGAAGAAGAAGAAGAAGAAGAAGAAGAAGAAAGAAGAAGAAGAAGAAGAAGAAGAAGAAGAAGAAGAAGAAGAAGAA